CAATTTTTTTTTTTTTTTTTTACTGTGCTTCAAATAAATAGAAGAAATAGTTGTAATACTGATCTTCACCTTTGCCATTCCTGCTTCCATGCACATTAGGCTAGATATTCCACTTTGATAGCATGAGTGTGTTTAGGCTTTTGATTGGCATATGCCATTTCTGGGAAATGTATCTGGAGGCTAAGTATTGCTTTCTACAAATAACTGTTCCCTTGTTTTAAAAAAGAAATACATATTGAAGTAGTTCATGATTTGATTGGCATTATAGGAAGCAAGCTGGTGCTAAGTATTTTTAAATGGTTATGTAAGCAAAGCTGAACTGTAAGTCTTCATTCAGGAATATGTATTAAGATTGTGGAATTGGGTGTACAATTGGTAGGGGGAGAAAGTGGGTTTGGTTAAATGCATCCATTTATGGCCCTATGATCTATCCTTTCCATGAAAGTTTTTGAACAATGGAAAGATCATTTTGTTGCATTTCCCTATTGTTTTTGAAAAAACAAAAACCCCAAGCCCTACAAATGGCTTGTATTGAACTTTGCATTTGAATTTAAGATTATTAAACATAAACAAAATAAAAGGAAAAAAAAAAAGAAAAAAGAAAAAAATGTAATCTTTAGCAGCTAAATACACAAGGTTTTCAGAACTAGACAGAATTGTACTGGGGGAAATAATCTTTAATTCTCTTAAATGCTTTAAAGTGGCTTGAAAAAGCAATGTTTACATTTATTAGAAGTTCAAGCAATGAAAACTTCTGTAAGAAAATTACTCCTTCCTAAGAAAAATAGGAAACGAAGAAGTTAAACTGTTTTTATTTGCAGATGACATAATACTCTACATAGAAGACCCCAAGAACTCCACCAAAAGTCTTCTAGACTTAATAATCAAATTCAGTAGAGTAGCCGGATACAAGGTCAACACACAAAAGTCAATAGCTTTCCTCTACACGAACAACAGACTCACTAAAAGAGGAACTGGAGAAACAACTCCCTTCCTTCACAATAGCATCCAAAAAATTGAAATACCTAGGAATCAACCAAATGAAAGAAATCAAAGACTCTTTTCTGAAAACTATAGCATTCTGAAAAAAGAGATCAAAGAGGATACCAGAAAATGGAAAGACATCCCTTACTCCTGGGTAGGAAGAACCAATATAGTGAAAATGGCCATACTTCCAAAACTACTATATAGATTCAATGCAATCCCAATTGAAATTCCAACAGCACACTTCACAGACCCAGAGAAAACAATCCAAAAATTCATCTGGAACAAGGAGAGACCTAGAACAGCAAAAGCAATTCTAGGCAACCAAGAAAAGATAGGGGGTATCACAATCCCCAACTTGAAACTATACTACAAAGCTACTAGGATAAAAACAGCATGATACTGGCAAAGAAGCAGACCTGAGGATCAGTGGAACCAATTAGAAGATGCAAAAATAACTCCAGACACACTCAGCCATCTCATCTTCAACAAAGGCACCAAACACCTTCACTGGAGGAAACATAGCCTCTTTAATAAATGGTGCTGGAAAAATTGGGTTTCAACTTGCCAAAGACTAAAACTGGACCTATATCTCTCACCATGCACTAAATTAAAATCTAAATGGATTAAAGATTTAAATATTAAAACAGAAAGGCTGAACCGGCTGGAACAGAGGTTAGGTAGAACTCTTAAAGGCACTGGGGTAGGAAAAGATTTTATGAACAAAACCTCAGTTGCCCATGAACTAGCACAAACAATCAACAAATGGGACCTCTTATTAAAAAGTTTCTGCACAGCAAGAGAAACCACCAAGAATGTGAAGTCACAACCCACAATGTGGGAAAAAAATTTTAGCAGCTCTTCCTCAGACAAAGGTCTACTATCTAGAATATATCAAGAACTTAAAAAAATCAGGCCCTCCCCAAATTTAAAGACCCAATCCAAAAATAGGCATCTGAATAAACATACATTTCTCAGACAGAGAAGTAGAAATAGCAAATAAACATATGAAAAAATGTTCAACATCACTGGTCATTCAAGAGATGCAAATGAAAACAAAGCTGAGATTCCA